CCCCAAAACCCCAAAACCCCAAAACCCCAAAACCCCTAAGAACTATTCATAATTGAAAATTTATCCTGAATTCTCTCTATCACTCAAATAATTTAGACACTGTCCTGGTAATCTTTAGAGTCAATGTCAAAGGTAGATGGCAGCTCGATGGGGATCTTACGGTTAGGCAGTGTCTTTTGGGAGCATGAAAATAACTTTCGAAGCTTGGTAATCTTGGTCTTAATCCTGTCTACATACTTTGCCATTGATTTCTCTCTCTTTATATTCCGCTTCAGGATCATGAAGCCATTACCAGCCTTAGCCTTTGCCAAAGTCTCCTTTAAACGGTGGTTGTTATTAGTATCTTTAACACAATTAATAAAATTGGTCTTCGGAATACAATCCTGGCCATTGTTGTTAGCATCCTTTATGTCTTTCTTCAATAACGGTTTTTCAATCTTATTCGATTGCGCCTTTTTAAGAACGCTCTTAATTTTCTTGTTTCTAAAGGTTCAGAGAAGCTATACCTTGTCTGCTCAGAGTTGCGCCTGAGCTTGATCTTACTCGTTCCAATATCGTTAAATAAGCTAAGCAGATCTTGGTTATTTAACCCTAGTTGTGCTGTCGTAATCCTTTACTGTTTCGTACCAAGTTTTCTGAGTCTGAACGATCTGGCAGGAGGGATCCACTACAGATGAGGCGAGCTACTTACCAGAAATCATATGATCAGAAAGTATATTGAAATTGCCATCTTTCATTCTAGTCTCATAATCCTTCTTATACGGCGAATAATGGGATGACACTATCTGTGGCTTTATCAAATGTTTTGGCAGACTTCGTGAACCTGCGCCTCCTAAATCCAGTAAATTAGAGTCCTTCTTAATCCGTTTGAAGAAAACTATGAATTCTATAGAACTAGCCACAACAGAGTCTTCTGCCCAATTTTAGGCACAGCTCAGGCTCGCTCTGTTAGAATCCACGAAGAGATTCTTAAAATTTTATTCCACATTTTTATGCTAAACTGTTTAGCTCAACATTAAAAAAGTTTAAAATTGATAACAATTTGTGTTACTTTTCTTCTTCGTAGTGAAAAATATTTTTGTTGACGAAGTCTATACGGTTCGTTAGAGTCAGAACATGAGAAAATATAAGTCATATAAATGATATATCAAGATATAATAGCTAAAAGGTTTGAGGCAGGAAGTCCGTGGAGACTCTAATCTTAGTCAGAACTGATCAAAATAGCTCAGATTTTAAACTCTTAACTCAAAAAAGTACCTTTTTGATTTTATTCTGCTTTCTTGGGCTTGTCAACTGAGGAAGAGAAGATTGTTTCATTAATTTATTCAATTTATTAATATAAATTGGGGTTTTGGGGTTTTGGGGTTTTGGGGTTTTGGGG